ATTCTTTCCCTATAGATCTAACATCAAATATATTTGCTACTTCATTATAGTATTCATCCAGTAATTCAATTCATTACTCATGGGAAAAGATAACTAATAGTATTAAGTGTGTTTTCACGCTAAAGTTTAAGGTCCAATTTCTTATCTGTTTGTTGATTTGTTCTGCCATAGCAAAAATGTCATAGAATGATGTGAAAGTTTCTTAAATTATTTCTTTTCCACACTATGATTTAAGGGCTTATTTCTTATCTGTGTCATTTATGTAATCACAACATAAAATACATTTTTTTATGAAATCATTTGCTAACCGTGTTTGATTTTTATAGATAAATGTTATCGCATGCCCTATATATAAGAAATCGATGATAAATGTATCCATCGTAATAAATTAATTCCAAATCGAACTAATTTTACATTGTTTTTGTTTATTATATTCTAGAATATTGTTAGGCATCATTTAATATGCAAACTATCTATGCTGGGAAATGTTCGCGTGTTTCTAATTTTTTATATTTTCGAGGTAACATTTAACCGCGAAATTTACCAAATGTGAATATGCATGTATTCTTGTTCATTTTAAGGTGTTGTACAAGGCCATGAAACGCGAAAAATGTAAACTGTGAAGGTTTAACCGCTCCATCCAGGAACATATATATTGATATATATATATAGATATACTGATCCCAGCTCCATCTGAGTCCCAAACCGCGATCAAATCCGACGCGAAGATAAACCCGTATACATGCCTGGTGTAAATGTAAATAACACTTTAAATTGCTTTCGAAGTACTTACCTGGATATGAATCCAGAAATCCAAAAACAGTGAAATGTACTGTTGAAAGGCCGTACTTTGACCTATAATGGTTTACTTTTACAAATTGTGACTTGGATGGAGAGCTGTCTCATTGGCACTCATACCACATCTACTTATGTATATATATATAAGTACTCGAATACGTGATGGGTAAAAGGACTACATGGGATATCAAAATGATTAGTTAAGAATTTAAGGTCAATGGGGATATGTGAAAGACTTTGGTTAACGTTGACAGACAACGTTGTTTCGTTAAACTAAACAAGAAAATCAAAGACAATATTGCTATAATCTATTTCATTTTCTCAAATATTACTGAATTAACTCTTTCTAAATAAATGTACTTTTGGATAAAAATCACATAATATAGGAAAAAAAGTAACTCTTAGATCTGCACTTAGTGTTATTATACTCTGCCACGTCCGGTCTGTGTTTATGTTTGATGTTTTTCTGCTTTGTATCGATCTAATGAGTTAAGCCAACCGATTTTTATAGTTTGTTCTAATGTTGTACTATTACAACACTGTCCCAGGTTAGGGGAGGTTTGAGCGCTCAAAAACATGTTTAACCCCGCCACATTCTTTATGTGTCTTTCCCAAGTCAGGAGCCTGTAGTTTAGTGGTTGTCGTTGGTTCATGTCTGTCATATTTTGTTTTTTTGTTAATTGTTTTGTTATGAATTAGGCAGTTAGTTTTCTCAATTAAATTGTTTCATATTTTTCATGTCGGGGCCTTTTATAGCCAACTATACGTTATGGGTTTTTCTCATTGTTGAAGGCCGTCCGGTATGTTTATATTCTAAAATATGTCTTAAAATAATTAAACCTTCTAATACCACTGCATAGATTTTTCTTTTAAAATAATGTGTTGTTAATGCATTAATTTAAGTTATTATCTTTGATGAGTTTTTTATGGTGTAAGATTATGATATGGTCACAAATATTCGTTTTTACAGTAAAGATTATTCAAAGTGGTGTTCCAGCGGGAAAATTTCCGCAAAAAAATTCGAAATTGAGGAAACGTCATCGTGTTGTAAAACCGTAAAACGTCGATCTTTGACATATTTCGCTACCATGTTAGAAACAAACTAAGTTAATTACAGTGACGAAAACAAATATACAAGTCGAAAAGAGAAAACAAAATAAAGCCATGTATTAATAATTTAATTATGGATGTTACACATCTTCTGATTGGCTGAAAGGTTTTTGTCTATCGACTCATAGACAAAAATTTGTCATATGACCGTGACGTCATCAACGTTTTTTCATGATTTAGGGACTGGTCATTTTCTTTATTGGAAAAGGGGGTGGGGCCGGATGGGAAGATACATTGGAATTTCTCTTATTTTTTCAAGTCCCCACCTTTAACAAAAATACATGCATACAATTTTTATTTATATTATTATCGTTCAATAAAATATTGCATCAGTAATGGATGTATAGCTTATGTGGAGGAGGTTGTTTGTAACTTCAGGGAACTTTGGATATATATACTTCTCTTGAACTGAGTTTTACTGTACGTACTGTTGTACGTTTGTTTTTTCTACATTGGCTAGAGGTATAGGGGGAGGGTTGAGATCTCAAAAAACATGTTTAACCCCGCCGCAATTTTGCGCCTGTCCCAAGTCAGGAGCCTCTGGCCTTTGTTAGTCTTGTATCATTTTTAATTTTAGTTTCTTGTGTGTAATTTGGAGTTTAGTATGACGTCAATTATCACTGAACTAGTATACATATTTGTTTAGGGGCCAGCTGAAGGACGCCTCCGGGTGCGGTAGTTTCTCGCTGCATTGAAGACCCATTGGTGGCCTTCGGCTGTTGTCTGCTCTATGGTCGGGTTGTTGTCTCTTTGACACATTCCCCATTTCCATTCTCAATTTTATATATAAATGAGGAGGTCTGGTATTATTGCCAATGAGATAGCTATCCAACAGAGTTTAAATGTCGTGGTAGTAAGCAATTTTAGACCACCGTACGGCCTTCACAATGAGAACAACTCATACTGTATAGTCGGTTATTAAAGGGCACACATGAAAAATGTTAAACAATTTAAACGAGAAAACGACTTTCATTGAATTTCAGCACATTGTTCACATATATCCTTTATTAAAGATGTTCGTAAATTAACTTTAGATAAAAATATATTCCTGGAAGATGTTCAACCTGAGGATATGAATCTTAACAATTGAGGCGAATGGAACGAGGCGAAAACACAATTGATGTATTTCGTGCCAAAAAAAAAAATTTCTTCATTGTATGGGGTGGGTCGCCAACATTTTTCGATACCCCCCCCCCCCCCCCCCCGCCTGAGGTATTGAAAAATTGGACATCCCCATTTCCATTCCCATAAATTTTCAAAGCCCCCTTATTTTCCTCCAACCCCCTTCAGGTTACAAATGACCAATCCCTTACTCCTTTAAAATGGAATTTTTAATTAAATTATAAGGATATGCGGGTTATTCAGTGTGCACATTTTTGACGTTATTTCGTTAAAGACAGAAAAAATATTACAGTCATTCCTTAAATACATAAAATAAGGAGATGTAGTATGATTGCCGATGAGACAAATATTCAACAGAGTCAAAATGAAGTTAATTTAAGCGATTATGGGTTTGTTGCGGAAGATTAAATTTGTTTTTCGTTTATTTGTCATTTCGTGGCCTTTTATAGCTTGCTATACGGTATGTGCTTTCATCGTTGCTTAATAACGTACGATGATTTATAGTTGCCAACTTTTACCTCATTTGGGTTCTGATGGGTATTGTCTCATTGGCAATCATACCACATTTTCTTATTTTTATATTGTGAGCGCTCAATCTTCCCCTAGCCTGGGAAAATGACGAAACAGCACACAATAAGTTCAAACTGTAAAATCAGTTGGAAATGGCCTGATGCATCAGATAGGCATGAAGCACCAAAAAAAAAAACACACTTATATGAAGACAGACACAAAGTAACGACCTATAAGTACTCTAAATTTCTGAAAGCTAGTTCAAAGCCAGTAACAACTAATGAATAAATCAAGTTCTCCAAGACGAAAGTCACATTAAGAATACATCCAACAGATTGAGTATTAAGACGCCATAAACATTCTGAGAAAATCACGACCTTGTGCAATGCCTCAAGTACATCGACAGGATGTTGGACGATAAGTTTTTATAAAATTAAGAGCAATATGATATACACGTTTATAGTTATGTCCTCATTATCAAAAGCAAACTTAATGATGGTACCAGTCTTCTATGGTTTTGATCTTCATGAATATGATTTATCTGAGACTACACGATAATATTGTTAGTTCCATGCTTAATGTATACCTTTCTGTCCACGCACATGTAGTAAACTTTTCTTTTATCTTTATTTATTCTTACGTTACAGCTGTTGTGCTTAAACTAGTGATCTTCGTTTTTGTGGTTCCATTCATTAAGATTTAATACCAGAACAGAAACCATTTAATAAATCAGATCAATGAAGATCAAAGGTAAAAATATTGCTACATAATTTACAACATGCTTTTAGCCACCGTATGTGTCATAGTTTCCTTAAATCAAAGGTTTCGGAATTGTTCAAACGATCTTATGGGAGTTTCTTGAAAGGAAAGCGAAAAGAATTTTTCTCACGAATAATAAATCCTTACTACTTTATAATAAAAGAATATTATCTAATTGATCCGTTCGACTTATTAATTGTCAGTTTTCTTGCCGAATCGGCTCCAGCGTTTCTCCACTTATTAAAATGAGCCGCTATGAATATTGATAAAAGTGGCGTCAAACATCGATATCAATCAATCATCACTAACGATATGATGACGTTAAAAAAAACCATTTAAAGACATTTGATTACGTTATAATTTAGTTTTCTTTTATTCAGTCGAAAACCAATCAGCAAATTTAACCTTTACTGTGTTGCCATACATGTAAAAATACTATAATAAAATATCCAGTCGATTAGTAGACATTTTCCTCACGTGCGGTCAACAGTTAGAAGCTGCGAAATGGCAATACCTCTCCTTGAAAAAATCTTTATTTTCCAACTATAATTTGCACAATAAAATATAAACTTGCAATTTCAATTAAAATAAAAACTGCAGAAAATAGTATTCATAACCTGTGATAAAAAGGAAACCAGTAATAGAAATGCCAGGTATATTTTGAAGACATGCGCTGAAAAATAAAACTAAGAGCAACTTACCTTTTTCTTATGAACACTCCTAATGTGATCACGTCTTTGTATTTCATATCCAGGTGCCTTACTTCCCCAAATCCTGTACGCTACACGAATGTACGAAAAACTTATTATTGTTAAAGGCACCATATACTGCAAAAGAAGGAAATACGAAAAGTAAAATTTCGGAAATGCGTCCGATGGCCACTGCACTTCACAAAATGGTTTCTTTGCCCAGATTTCAATATCAAAGATTATGTTAACCTTATAGTAAAGTAAGTCTGGTATGCTAGATGACGTGCTTAAAACCCATATAACAAGAAGAACAATTATCGCCACTTGCTTCCGAAAACCTGCTCTCAGGGGATACATCACGGCTATGTATCGGTCAAAGGCAATTACGGTCAAGGTCAATATACTGACATTAACCGATAAGTTTTTGACAAACGGTGCCACTTTACACATAAAATCAGCCACTACCCATCGCTGCATAATTGCAGCGTGGAACTGGAAAGGTATAGTAAATACACCAAGCGCAACATCAGCTAGTGCCAAATTAGCAATAAAGACATTAGTGACCGTTTGCATATTCCTCTTGTACAACACAACAAAGATCACTAGAGCGTTACCTATGACGGCTATCACCGAAATAGACCCATATAACAGAACTAAAAGCGTCAATATTCCAGTTGAAACGGAAATTGGTTCGTATTTTTTCGACAAATTATATCTAAGATGTTCTAAATATTGTAGCTCCTCTTTTGTTAAGTTTTCTGGAAAGTCACTGAACATACTTTTTAACTCGGATACGTCGGACATTATTTTTTGTTTGTCTAAGATGATGAGTACATCTGTTAATATATTTTGCGATTGTTTATAATATTATATGATATCCTTATGTTAAACATGTGCGAGTTAAATTACAAAACGCTAAAATCAAGAAATCAGAAATTCCCGTACGAAAGTTGCACCAAGTTTCTTCGAATTAACATTATAATGCAAATTTCAAAATAGATACAAAAAATACAATCCAGTGTTGTTTAATGATTATTGACAACAGAAAACACAATACTATATCAATATAAATAAATGGTTAGATTTTTCTTAGAAAGAATAAAATCAATACAGGTCTTCTGTCAATCATTCCGATACGCCCTTTTTTTTAAACATTTGTCAATACTTTTCCATGATTAACCTTCTTAACTTTCATGCTGACGTAATTGTTAGTAATAAACACCATGAAACCTGCCCAAAGTGTTAAAACTGATTTAGTAAAACGCGTAAAGATGTATAAGCCCATCATGACATAAATAAATTGCGTTCACTTCAAGAAAAAACATTATGGGTTATATATAATTAGTTATACAATGTAAAGAACTGATTCCGGTATTATATGACATATGATAAAGTTAATAAGGTAAAAATAAACTTAAGGTTCTTCAAATTGTTGATCGAATCAATACTTGACGAAAGGCGTATTATCAACAAGAGCAACATAAAGCACTAAAACACTTTAAATGCAGGAATCCAAACGTTGTATTTAAGAATAACATAATGAAGGATCAATTATTAGGAATCAAATGACAACCCGTAGCAATCATGACAATTGAGAATAAACTATATATTAGTTTTAAAGTGCAACGAACGTGTATACAACATTATAGACATTATTGCTTAATGGTAGCGTGGAAGATCTCTGTTAGCTAAAAAAAATTATGACATAAATTAAATTTTGACTCTTTCGTTTTTGATTTAGACACAAAACGTGCATGTTCCGACCTAAGATTGTTTAGTATTCAACTGCTGATAACTGAGGTATAGTAATTCAGACATACTTCTTACAAAACTGTAATTTACGATAATATTCGTATTTGTTTTATAAGAGTCTCCGTACAAAAATGTAAATCATGACCGCTAAACAGATCCGAATGTTAGTGGGAAATCTTTGTAACGAATTCTGTTCTGTGACCTATTTTCGCAGCAAGCTTCGAAAAACAATTTATATCAGGAAGTCATTATTTAGCGATGCATTACAGTCACTTTATTATTTTTTTTCTTCTATAAGATAACCATAAGTATTAATGTACTATCCAAGGCTTCACTATATTGTATCTATATTTACGGGACATAACAGACAATATATCAGGTTGATGTAACCAAGTAAAAACGTGATATTATCATATAACAAGGATTCATAATCAAAAGTCACAGAGAGTGAAATATGTTCATCTTAATGAAAAGCGTAAAACTGTTTTATGGAAGAATTTGACTTTTTGGCTTATTACGTTTGTAAGAGATCAATTCTTCTACAGGAATTATAAATCGGTAACAAATGTAAATTTAAAAATCATTTTAGTATGCTATGAACAGATATATGTTAGTATGCTATGAACAGATATAATTATGTTAGTATGCTATGAACAGATATATGTTAGTATGCTATGAACAGATATATGTTAGTATGCTATGAACAGGTATATGTTAGTATGCTATGAACAGGTATATGTTAGTATGCTATGAACAGATATATGTTAGTATGCTATGAACAGATATATGTTAGTATGCTATGAACAGGTATATGTTAGTATGCTATGAACAGGTATATGTTAGTATGCTATGAACAGGTATATGTTCACCCAATTGAATCTAGCGGTAAAAGGTTTTATTATATTAATGAAGTTAAAAAAAATAGTTGTTTTGTATATACAATGTATAATCATGAAAACAAATTCTTAACCGACTTATTTTGGAAATACGTTATAAGTAGTGATATCGTCCCGAATATGCATTAAATATTTGCCATTTGAAGTTACTAAGCAATCAACAATTAATCTACCAATGGGGATTAACTAACCTTTTGAGTCTCTTCTGCTTTAAACGAATGTTTGTATGTGTAATTTTGTCTGGTAATATTACAAGCGTTTCTAGATTAAATATAAAGTATGCTCGTGTTATATGGTTTTATAAATAAGCTTAATGATCAGCTGGCTATATATTTGTCATATTAAGATTGAATTATAGTAAATGAATTATGTCATAGATTGTTTCGATTACAAAATTGTTAGCCAACTTCCAATCAGAATCGGGAAAATCTGCAGTTCTTATTTGTATATGCTTTATGTTATTTAATTTTGGTATTCAGCCATATTGATAACTTGCTCTAATTAAAGTTTAAAGATAGAAACAATAGAACTGATATGGCCTTAGTCTATCAGGCAATTATGACTTAATCTGATAGCAAATTATTTGTTGCAAATCATATAAAACCTTTATCTGTCAAAAAGGTTAATATGCGAGGTACACTTACAGGAGCTGTAGTGAGATGATTCAAGCTATTAGTTTTCTCCTTGACGACATATATGCACGTTTGGGCAAAACAGTTTTTCGACATGCCGTAGATATTTTATGGCCACCAAATGCGCCCCTTTTACATCAGACTTGTTATTGTATTGTTTTGAATCATTGTTATGAATCTCAGTTTATGCCCAAACTCAGTAAAGATCCGACTTAATTCCTTTTGATCGAAAAAAAAAGATCAATAACACTTACCGGTTGCAATATACTTTGATGATATCAAGAAGTCTGCATTGTCTCTAAATGCAGACATTTATCCAAGCGAACTACCAGTATCTTATTATATCAAAATATCTAAAATAGACACAATTTAGTATTTGTCCTTTTCTAGATTTGAATATTTCAATTTCACATTGGACGCTCTTTACAAAAGAAACGGCAAAGAAAACAATTTTTCGTTTCCTGTAGTTAATTTTCCTTTACTGGACGGTAGTGTTCATTTGGTCCCTACTTACAGTGTGTATTTTCAAACTCGTTCGTTATGCTTGTTTCTTGAAAGTAGATTTCTCTTTTGAGTTGTTTCAATTTTTGTAATTCCGGGACCTTTTATATTTTTTAAACGCTAAACATGTAGTCAGAGATTCCTAAAAGATACCAGACTTATGATTGTGTACGCCAGACGCGCGTTTCGTCGAAAAACGATTCATGCTGAAGTTGTGTTCATATATGGAAATCTTATGGATTTTGCTTATTGTTGAAGGCTGTACAGTTCCCAATGGCTGCTTACATTTTCTTCCTTTATTCTACGGTTGATAGTTGTCTCATCTTCAATCATACCACATGTCATTATTTTTTATATAAACAATCACATGTTACTACTTTTATACACCTTTAAGAAAAAATAATACATTCGGGTTTTGAACCTGATTATCTGTCTCACTCAACATGGAAATGTAAAAGTGCGAGCGGAGCATGGCGTCTGATGTACACATATTATTGTTTTGCACAAGACATGCATGAGTCTTAGGAATATATGCAGGCATTTGTCATATTTTAAATTTTTTTTCATTGCAAATGATATCGATTATAGTGTTTTTCATTTGTAATTGTACAGAAAATAGCATTACATCTTCATCAGGCAAAGATAGACAAGGGACACCAAAGGGACATTCAAACTCATAAGTCGAAAATAAACGAACAACTCCATGGTTAAAAAAGAAAAAGACAAACAGACAAACAACAGAACACAAAACACAACATGGAAAACCAAAGACTGAGCAACACGAACCCCATCAAAAACTGACCATTTACTCTTTCGGTGTTCTAGTTCTATGCTCTCAAATGTTTTGAATAATTGTATTGGCTAATAAATCGTTTGTTGTTAAAGTGTACTTGATCAGGCCGCTAACTTTCTCTCGTTTGAATTGTTTTATATTTGATAATTCGGGGCCTTTTATAGCTGACTATGCGGTATGGGTTTTGCTCATTGTTGAAGACAGTACGGTGACCTATAGCTGTTAACTTATTTGGTCCGAGTACACAGTTATTTCGTAGTGCATTTCTTTTAGACAATAAATGAAAATAAAAAAAATCCCACCTGCGCTTTCTCAATAATATTTTTACAGTGTGTTGTACTACTTTTGGGACAAATCATATCAAAATTATAGAAAACTTCATCGGCTCTAACTCAAAATATGGACAATTCTATGTTAAGGGGGTCTTGAAATCTTTTGACAGCTTCCGAAGTGCTAATTTTTAACCTTTTTCAGCTGGACCAAATCACTACTTTACTTTACAATTCATGACCCAAATTTTTTTACAGTGTAATTTCATCCCCCTACTTGCTATTTGAGGCATAAAACATGAAGGAATACATTTGGAAGGGGTACTAAAAAAATTGGCAAGCAACACACTGTCCACACTAGGGACTTTATTCGTGGACAACGAAAATCAAAGGACGATAACTGTGTACTCGGACCTAATAGGATAGAAAAATTTGACCAATCTTAATAAAACTTGGTATGACTAAAGCTTAATAAATTATGAGACTGCTGACAAAGTTTCATGGCAATAGGATATATATTATAGACAATATGATAAATTCTATATTCAACTTCACGTGTTAAATTTTGACGTTTAAATTGAAAAATTTCAACTATCAACATTTGGGGCTTTAAAAATCAAAATATTGCAAAAAATTACATTTTAAAGGCCTTAATATATGACATTTTATGTATTTAAAGCAATAGAATACTCATTTGATTTATCAGACTTATCACAATTATTTTAAAAGTCAAATTTATATGAGCCTGTGCCAAAAAATGGAGGTTTTCCAATGAAGGGGGGCCTTACATGAAGATGTACTATTTTCCAGCAATTTTAAATTTGTGGAGTTTTTTGGTTATAAATTATCCTTACATATGTATTAAATGTACTTTAAATGGAAAGAAAAATTACAAATAGCATACCATATTAGTATAAAAGGGTCTTAAGCCAAGTAAGACTGAAAATAATTTAGGGTCAAT